GTCAGCCTCTGGAGTAACTGGGGCTACAGGTGTGCACCACCATGGCTGCCTAATTTTTTTTGTTTTTAGTAGAGATAGGGGTCTTGCTCTTGCTCAGGCCGGTCTGGAATTCCTGACCTCAAGAGATCCTCCCACCTTGGCCTCCCAGAGTGCTAGGATTATAGGCTTGAGCCACCTGGCCCCGCCTCTCTGAGGATTTTGATGCTCCTAAGTGTCACTTTCTCTCTGCCTGTCTCCCTCCTCCCCTTTCTTTCCATCTGTCTGTTGTTCCCTCTCTTCCTCTCTCCAAACAGTTGTAGAATGATAAAGTATTAGAGCTAGAAATCAACTGAAACAATTGTTTCATTTTGCACTTGTGCATCTGGGGTCCAGAGATGTTAGGTGGCATGTTACAAGTCACGTCAGTTGGTAATAATTAATTGATCTACCCAGTTTTCTTTAATAATTTAGTCAGCTTAGAGGTGAATTCATAAAATGAGACAAAACGAGTTGAATATTATCTGATCTTATGATGGAAAAAGGCTTTTAAAACCCTAAAACATGCTAGAAATCATGAAGGAGAATTAAAAACTTGTGTACATGCTAAAGAATGTATATACTCACTTGATAAGAAAAAGAAAGATTTTGCACCCTCTCCCTCCAAATCAGTAAATGACCTGAGCAAACAGTTTGCAAAAGAAGAAATACAAATGGCCTGTAAAAATGTGAAAAGTTCAACTTCACTGATGAAGATGTGCAAATAAAAAAGGATAGTTTTTCACCTAGACGTTGGTTTAGAAATGCCTTAAACTGTTCATTCTCTTTGATTTAGGGCTTCCACTGGCTTTTATTTTAGGCACAGAATTGGAGATGTGAACAAATACTAGGTACTTTTGCTGAATTTTTCTTAATAATGAGAAATTGAATTTTCTCTTGAAAAAGCAAGGAAGATGAAATCCCTAGCCGAGGTAGCAGTGACTTGGGCTGCATTTCACAGTTTCTTGTGGCAGTGCTGCTGTTCTGTCAAATTGTTTGCTCTCAAGTTGTAGGTATAAAAATTAAAATGTACGTATACCATATCTTATTCTATAATGGGCTTCAAGTGGTAACTTTGTTTTTTTAGGTATATTTGCGGGCTCTTGTGAGAAATCTTTTTAATGAAGGAAATGATGTTTATCGGGAACGTGATTGGAGTAGCTCAATAAGCCAGTACACAGAAGCTTTGAATATAGCTGATTATGCAAAGTCTGAAGAAATTTTAATCCCTAAAGAAATAATTGAAAAACTACATATAAATCGTATTGCCTGCTATTCTAATATGGTGAGTTGTGATTTTTAAAATAATGTTCTAGAGTGAAAAATTTTTCTTCAGTGGCTTAACACATTAATGAAAAGTCAATTTCCTAATTTCAG